TAGTTGAATATATCGTTATAAATGTTTTGGTGTTCCGAGGTCCCCCGCTTCCTCGAGTAGGAAATATCCTACTATAGTTCCGAGATTATAAGCATTAGCTAATGTGAAATGGTGCTCTTTGTTAAAGCAAATGGCACAATTTTAGTTTACATTTTACGTTGCAGAGTAGTTTTATATTGTATATTTTACATTTCACGTTGCATAATAAATCCATACATAACAACATATTATACCAGGCGGTATCAAATTTGCAACAAAGGAATTGCTGATTCATTACTTCTCATTGCGATTTCAGCGGCAGGCGATGGTCCTTTATTAACTGCCTTTTAATCAATTTCATATCGGGAAAAGTTTTTTGAGTCCTATTCTGTTAAACATGAGATTGTTTCAGAGTGATACACCACCGAAAGATGTCTTCATGGTATTTTTTTCCGGTGAAGTACTTGGATTACGGGTGAGAAAGATATGCAAGTGGTTAGTTTTCAGTGGAATTATTATATTTTTTATTAGACAGTATAACTTTAGAATAATTAAGCAGGTAAAAAGCATTTGATTCTAGCTACCAAGCGGAAATATACGATTATAAAGACCCGGCAAATGACCGAGTGTTACATGTAACAACATTATTTGGACGTGTGACTGAAATCAAATCGGTCATTGAAGAAACAAGAAGATATCGTAACAAATTGCTTCAAGCAACTGCTTGTAAAGCTCGTGAATGGGACATCAAGGTTGGACTTAATCAGTTGTTTGTTAACCAGCCAATCGCATCATTTAAATATCTGGTAAACTGTCACAAACTTCGTTTTAAAAATTTTGATTACTTTCGAAATATCGTGCCATATATTTAGCCTTTTGAAGTTTAAACAAATTGCAAATTCAGTGGAAATTGAAGCAGTTTTTGAGTACTATGATGAATTTGCAAGTATGCTAAAAATTCCGAAGATGAAGACTTCCCTTTGAAACAGCAATGTCGAAGGCAAGGATATTCTTGGGAACAAATTTTTGTGAAATGGGATAAATCTGAATGGTGTCATTATCACATATTATAATGATAAAAAAAAAGTTGTATTTTCAGTTGCAAAAGATGTCCGCTGTGTTCGGAGCAATGAATATGTGCAATGTAGACATCACTCAGCGATATTTAATCGCTGAATGTTGGATTCCGACCGTTGATGTAACACGTGTTCGAAATAACTTTAGTAAGACGAGCATGGTAAGACTGGTGTGAACTGGTATAGTATACGATATTTTTGTCATTTATCTCAGAATTAAACAAAATTGACAGAGTCAGACAAATCACGACAAAACTTCAAATCAATTGATTTTATGAATTAAATGGAACTTTTACAGGAAAAGAATGGCTCTGTCTTATTATCTTTCTTGTGCGAAATTGAGACGAACAAAGTACCACCAACATATTTTCGTGTTAACAAATTCACAAAAGTTTTTCAAAACATCGTTAATTCGTACGGTACAGCAACTTACCGCGAAATTAATCCAGGTTATCTATTTTGCTTTGTAAACAGGACCATCATTAACCTTTTTGTCTAATCACAGTTCCACATCATATAACGCCTCTCTTCATCTCAGACTATGATCTTTTCTGTTTTTAGCTCTCTGGACAACGATAACATTTCCATTCCTATTCGCAATAATGTTCGGCGATGCTGGTCATGGCCTAATCATGCTTTTTATTGCCCTTGCATTCATTCTATTCGAAAAAAAAATCGAAATCGATGATGAAGTCTGTTAATATTATACTATATGCAAGAATTTTAAATTCTGAATGCATTTTTGTGCTAGTAAAGTTTTGTCTGACTTCAACAATCAAACTTAAGTGATATTAAGGGTTTCGTATTGGAATTGCAAAATCTATATAAGTTACATTTCATTTTACACTTTGAAGGTAAATTTCGGGGATATTACAGATAATGGGAACATTTTACCATGGACGTTATGTCATTCTTCTAATGGGACTTTTCTCACTTTATACAGGCTTCATCTATAACGACTTCTATTCGCGTTCGATGAATTTGTTTGGAAGTAGCTGGCGCAATCCCTACGAGTAAGATTTTACTATCTCATGCTCGTTTATGTCTGCCCTTAGTTGTTCAATGAATGTAAAATTCTAAAATTCTAGATCTCTTTCTGTTTTTATATTTGCATTTTCCTTAATTTAAAAAAAAACCCTCAGAGAGCATTCACCACTTACCATTTTCATTACCCTGCTTTGTACAAGCTTAAAATCGCAACATTTAACTACTTTTTTGGTTTCTTATTATCATCTTGTACAATTACATGCATTAAGCGTTAGCTTGTTCGACCTAAAACCAAGTGAGGAGAGTGCGCAAATTGATTTAACACTACCGCCACAGTATGCTTACGACAGAAATAAAGTAAATTTTTATTCGTTTCAAAAAACAAACAACTTCCACTAATTTTTGAATTTTTTCCTTTTTAATTTAAACTTTTGCTTTCGAATTGGTTTTTTTCGCTAGTAACCTAGGAAAATGTTGTTTCCTGAAACCTTATAAAAAATTTGTAGGGTCCTTATGTTTTTGGTTTGGATCCAGTTTGGAATCTAGCAGGAAATCGGCTAATATTTACAAATTCAATGAAGATGAAAACATCCGTTATTTTTGGCATCATACAAATGACATTTGGTGTAATGCTGAACCTTTTGAATTTCTTGTTTGTTTTACATTTTTTTAACTTGTTGTTTCTTTGTCTTCAAAAAAAATGAGTGATTTATTTTAAAACATTAATGCAGCGATTAAAGAGTAAATCAAATTATTCAAATTAAAAGTTGGAATTTAGTGATAGGAACGATGTGCATATTGCAGGTATTTTCGATCAACTATCGATATTTGTTCTACATTTATACCACAGATTTTGTTTCTATGCTGTATACTGATTTATCTGTGTATTCAGGTTGGGCTTATATTTTTATCTAATGATTTCCTAATTTTTTAACTTTTTCGTGGGAGTATATAAAGAAAATTAGTAATATCTTTTATAATATCTTTTACTCCTCCTACTGCATGTGATCTCGTTTATTTACCCTTATCAAGAGATTTTGATTAATTCTTCTTACGGAACTTTTGTAAAAAATGTTTTTGATATGCAGTTATATACTAGGGTAACAGACATTATGATTTCATTTACTCTTTTATAGATAACAGTCAAGTGGCTCATGTTCAGCACCATACCTGGTGATGTTTTCGGCTTCTTTTATCCAGGGTCACACTGTGCTCCTTCACTCTTGATCGGGTTGATCAACATGTGCATGCTGAAACCACGCAAGGAAGGTTTCTGGAATCTCTCTTCATCCAGCGAGTTGGAGCAATGTTATTTACAGGCATGGTACCCAAATCAGGTAATGAAGTTATCGCAGTAATATACAGTAAATCATAGATAAATAATGCGATAATTCTTTAACTTTTTAATATAATATGGCGATGGAATTCATAAGATGTTGAAGTTGAAATCACGAGTAAAGGCTGTGAAAAAATCATAATCTGGTTTTACTAATTGGAAAACATTCTACCTTTGTAGTGTAGGAAGTATTCATACTTAATTACCGGTTATTCTTATCGCTAGAATTTGTCTTAAATGAAAGTGTTTCTACCCTTCAAAAAAGAGAACCAAAAAATTCGGATCATACGATTGTAGGGTATGGTAGAGAAAGGTCTTCTAATATTAGCAATACTTTGCATACCAGTGATGCTTTTGGTGAAGCCTTTTTATCTAAAATTCAAATTCTGGAAGATTGGAGATGAAGAAATTGCCAATATTGATGATAGTGAAGTAAAGGTCGGTTCTGAAGGCCATCCTACTCATTTCTGCTGTAGAAATCCATTTTTTTAATTTTTTCGATAGCTTATATTTTTATTTATTCTATTATGGACATATGAGTATCGTGCTTTAAAATATACTTGGGATTATTAATTTTGTTGCTTTTAATTACTTCATTGAGCCTCGAGATTTGCTGGTGCGGATTCGATAGTGATGTTTAATCTAATTCTGAACGATTCGAATATGATTACAGTGCGATTTCATGGATGTTTTCATATATCAAGCAATTCATACGATTGAATTTGCACTTGGGTGCATATCACATACCGCTTCTTATCTTCGCCTCTGGGCACTTTCTTTGGCTCATGCACGTAAGCACTTTGAAATTCATTTTGATCTAGTTTCGAAATTATCTCTAAATCTACTGAAAAATAGCGTTAATCCAATCTTAACTAGAATTTTCTAGGAATTGAAGGGAAAGACAAATTTATGTAGTTGCAATTTCAGAGCTTTCTGAAGTTCTGTGGTCAATGGTGCTTGGTATGGCTTTCTCACTAAATGCTTGGTCAAGTGGTCCACTGTTGTATCTTGTCTCTTGGCTCTACGGATTGCTTACATTTGTCATATTGATATTAATGGAAGGACTTTCTACTTTCTTGCATGCGTTGCGATTACACTGGTACCACATTAAATTATCAAAACTTATAGATTTTCGAGCTATCTGTAATATTTGGTTCATATTTTAGGATGCTTGTGATGAGAACACATTTCAAGTATCACTCAACTATTTTGCATGTATTTTGAGAGTTTTCTTGTCGACGAATAATGTTTGTATACATCTTTTCTCAAGAAGACTTCATTTTAGGGTTGAATTTCAAAGCAAGTTCTATGACGGTCATGGATATTCATTCAAACCCTTTGCATTTGCTCAAATGAAATCCTTCAAACTTGTTAGTAAGAAAGATGGAAGTGTAACTTGTTAATTTCATGTGAATCTCATAAACTAATGAAACTACGACTGCAAACTTTTCATTATCACTAAAGCAAAAATCGATTGACAGAGCATTTATAAGATAATTGCACAACAGTAAAATCAAAAATGCTGTAGTGAAAATTATGTGACTGTAACCTTCATGATACCGAAATGTTCGAAATAGGTCAAATAAGGAAGGAAAGGGTTGTAGCGCAGCAATGGGACAGTTCGAGCGGTTGATTCTGTTGCACTTTAGAGGAACAGGACATCAAAATCAGCTGTGCAAATTTATCCATAAAGCATTGCCTACAAAACCTGAATGTTCAGGAAATAGAAGGAAAAATCAAGAATATGTAAATGATTGAGAGATTAGATGGGCCGAGGGTTAAATTATGTCTTTTGAATATTACGGAAACAAAACAAAAAAATCAATTACTTTGCTTTCGCGGTCCTTTTATAAAGACTGCATAATACCTTTGAGTATTTAAATTTGGAAATTAATAATGAGATTGAATCATTTGTATTTCTATAATTTGACAAGTGGTGTTTTTTCAAACATAAGAAGGGGGCACGAAAGTCGCAAGGATCTATTGCAGTGAGTTCTCATTTTCAACGTACTAACAACTTCTGTAGTAAAGATTTTTTACGATACCAACGAAGAATTTGAGGTGATCAAATCTAACAATATATGACTGCAAAGAAATAAAATGAGCAATATCAATGAGTCATATTTATAACCATATTTCTCTGAAGATTTTCGAAAGTTCCTCGCAAACAAGTTACTCGAAATACAGTGAAATCATTATTATGGATACACAAACTACTGGGGTGAATGCAATAAATTCACGTTCATGACTGAAACATTACGGAGTGATTGGAGTCAGCTACAAATAACTTGTCTTGCTAAATTTTAATCTGGTTTTTATAGGAATTTATCACTGCATCTTATTAAACAAAAGAGTAAATAAGATGGCAACCGCGCCAGTACAAAAGGAAGAACCAGCATTATCCGTAGATCCAGAAATGGCAGTTTTTCTTGCGAATGGCGGGAAATCAGAACATATGCTTGTTAACATAAGTGACAAACGACTTGCTGTTAAAGTAGGATTCATTGCATTTATAAGTTTTACGAACAGAACTTGCAAAGTAGAAATGGGACGGGGAAGAAGAGTGTGGTTAGATTCATTTCTGTGGATGGTTCCGAGCACTTCCGTAAGCGGTAAATGATTATAAGCTTTGAAGGCATAATAAGTGTTTGAAACATTTAATAATATTGACGTGCCATCAGAAAGCTAACGAGAGAATCTGACTGGCTTTCATGTTACTTCTTTTATCATCAAGCGCTATATCTCAAGAGAGCACACAATGACTGACAGTTATTAATGGCATTTCAGGAAGAGCAGTGACCTTAAACATATAATTTCAGGTGCGTTGTAGTGACAATAGCTTGTTTCGAGTGAGCCCGGTTTATATGTTCATAGAACCAGGTTCATGTGGTAATCTTGTTATAACAAGGCTACCTGGTATTCGAATTCATTAATTCATGAAGTTTAAAATAAATTTCCACCGTGGAGGAATATTAATATAGTAATAGTGTTATATGATCCAGAAAAGAAAATGTAGCGTCAAAATAGTATGAACAGTCACTTATGTTGCGGCTTTGTGATATGACATTTGCGCTGGGTTGAAAACACTTTTCTTTTTGGAATTCTGTGCAGGGCCAAAATTACAGAAATTCGAAATAAGATCTTTCAATCATTTCATAAATGGCTCCAAACGGACCATGTGTTTACGAGATTATTTTCAGTGTGGAATCAAAGTAAAACTTCAAAATAACAAAGCAAATCTTACCACACCAAAATATTATGAAGTTACTTTCTATTACATAAATACCCCTGTCAAATGTGTACACTTGTTTACAGGTCCAGCAAAATCTGATAAATTAGTATTCCATTATTTCGTTTGTGAGCCAAGTGATTTGGAACCAAAAGAAGTATTTAAAATAAATTCACAAAAGTCACCAGAAATGCTCAAGATGCCAATAAATATCATTTCTGCTGAAGATGTTCCTAAGGTGAAGCTAAGCCTGAACTGCTACACTTCAGGACTGCCCCTTGCTTAAGTCGTTGTTTTTTTATCCAAAGTACATTCGCGCAATTTTGCATTCTGACATATAATTGGCAAAACATTTGTCAGAATGATTTGGAATTTCATAATTTATTCTATAGAGAATGAAGAGTGGCGCAGAAGTAGCATTGGCGTGACAGCACTGCGATATTGCAAATGCGCATTCGTTGTTCGCAAAATTTTTGCAAATAGGATGAAATGTTATAGAAAATGATAAAACTTAATTTACGCATATTATTTATTCAGATTGGACAGTCACCGACACCTTCGAATCAACAAGGACCTTAATGAGAAAGAATGTGGGTTGCAAAAGAGAACATCATTAAAGTTACAATATAAACGGGACAAAAATTTTTGTATTATTGCAGTGCAAAGTAAGATATTGTCACACTAAAACATGCAATGTGTAACATGTCATTGTAAGACTATCATTGGACCCAGCATAAATCTAAAATTGACAAGGTCCCGAAAATCCATCTCTTGTACAAATTTACAAGCTATGTTTATGAAACACATTGAAACCTGTCAGCTTCAACAAGTTTAAGATGAAATCCGTTAAAAATTATTACTGAGGTGAAAGATAAAATCCGTTAAAAATTATTACTGAGGTGAAAGATGAATTTAAATTATGGATAAGGGAAGTTTCTGAGATGAATATTACGCAAGCGGAATTTGGATATTGAACAGTTCTCCGAAATACAAGAAATGACTGGATCTATATACGGCTATCAGCAAAGGGCCATTCTATTGCGCCAATAATCCGATAACTATCTCATCCAAAAATGTAGCATACAATAGCAAACAAACAAATATAATAAATACAACTTGTCGTGTAATTCAGTCTACTGGATACCTTAAACAGCTATTACCTCCATTAGAAACTCCTAACAACATAGAGTATATTATCGTTCGAACTGTCACACATTAACATTAATGCATTATTCGGCAATTCCTTTTGTGCACAAATTATGATACTGAAAATAGGAAATCAGATTATATTATTTAATTAATTTGTGATCCACTAAGGGAACAGATGCAACAATTACATTTTTAATACATACTTCCACATTAGACAACAATTTTGGATCACACTGTACTTTATTCTGCATTTAATTAAGTCAGTCTTTTAAAAAGAGGTCAGTCTTTTTTTAGAACATTCTTAAAATAGTCGCAAAAGTTTGAAATATTAAAATTTGGGTTCAGTAGTACAGAATAGGATTGGTAAGCTCACTAATTCTGTGTGTATAACTACTCAGTTATCCTTCGAAATGCCTGATGACGTCAGTGAAAGTCAAAAGCTGCACCATTTTATGTCAAACATTTGATTTTGTTATGGATCAAAATGTTCAGAATGTTGAAATTTACAGTGTGATTGAATCTTTTGCATCTTTAAAGAATTTTTTACTATTCACATTATTTGGGGGACGAAATCGAGCGATTTTCCAAAAATAGTGCATTTTTACAAATGATGTGGGTGACAAGCCAAGCTATGAATGCTTTCATCGATTTAATCTGTAGTTATCATTCGTATAATAACAACAGTAGATAAATGCTGCAGTTGATAGAACTGCATCATTACATCATGTTTACTCAACTCGTATATACTATATCTAGTATAAAATAGTTTAACTTCCAAGATTTTCAGGATTAAAAAAAAATCCTGAAGTTACTTGGATAGATACTTGGTTCAGGAATTGAAGTTAGTTCAGTCGAATTTTTATAAGACTTTAAAAATTCGTGAAAGTTAAAACGAATATGAAGATTCCTTATTCCTAATAAAGACAACGCCCCTTAGAGGACCGACTCCAAAAATGTCGGAGAAAGAATAATAATCGGTACACTTCGAAGAGTTCAGCAAAAAAAAAATTACAAATATTCATTAGAACGAGAAGAAATGAGGCCTTGTTTAATTTCTTCAATATTTCACATAATAGAAGCATTACAAACGTAATTTCTCAGATTGGTTCAATAGTACCCGTTTTGCATTAAATTAAGCATGGAAAATATCTATAATTAACGAACAATTTAGAAATGCCACTAGTGCTGACCGTTACTTGTAAAAATTATTTAAAACTTTTGATCAAATTTTTGAAAAGCACCCTAATTTGGGCAAGCAGTTAGCAGGACTTATTAGTTGAGGTTAATGATGATCATTCGATACTAACTTTGAGGTTGTCAGAAGACCATTTCATTAACAAGAAACATGAGTGGATGAGCGATGCACTCCAGCAGAATAATATGAATGTAAAGCCATGTATTCGGTTTAGCAAACTCATTTGTCAAAATGACCGATGAATATAACAGCGTATGAAGGCTGGTTAAAAATTATTCCGCCGTAAATTCAATACTCAGTAATTAAGCACTTTAGCTTTACATGTTAAAGTAGTTTCGTTCAATGTTATAATAGCGATACTGAGATATTACACTTTTGATCTATAATCATAAAGTTGTATAGTTCCAAGTCTCAATAATATTTGATTATTCCAAAAGTATACAAGTGACAAAGTTATTTGATGTTTTTATCCGTAAGCGAAAACTTGCCTGATTTAAATATGTCTTATTCTTAGATCCGGATTTGTAAGGAGACTTGCTGTCCCAACCATAACACAATCTAGAGCCAAATACAGTGACGTAAAGCTGACATATACAGGAATCGAATAGTAAACATCGGCAACAGCAGTAGAAAATAAGGAAAGCATTATAAACGAGCAGTAAAATGGCAAACTCGTTCCATACTCGTTTCATTGTCAGTAAATATGCAGTTTTATCAAATGACATGACAAGCCAGTATGGGATGGGGTACTTCATTTTGTTGACATGATATAATACGATAGTGCTGAAAGATTCTTCCAAAATTTTTTTAAATTTTTTCAGTATAGATTATCCTATAAGACAGCAAGAGACAGTGGGCTCAATGTGGATGGATGAAAGCGGTGATGTTGTAGATTATAAAAATAGCTGCTTGACTAATCAAATTTTGTTCCTCAATTTTTTTCCAGTTTCTTTGGAAGATTTTAGCTGCTCTATGTACCAATGTCAAATCAGTATTTCCATTTTATGAAAATTGAAAGTCAGTGATATCTTACTAACGGATATTTCATTGGCGCGCATTCTAAATCGTTCTGTTCATACGGTTTCTAGAATGTCACTTCCGGCTGCTCAACAATTGACTTTTTTTTTGCTATTTGAGGTTAAAAAAAAAGAAATTCCAGGAATGTACCAGCTAATGGGACCAGTAAGATAATGCTTCTTTTCTGGTATCGTGAGATTCAGGTGGCAGCCAAACTACGAACAGTGCTTTTTGCCGAAAACCATTACTTTCTACGTAGGCCAATGCTACCAATACAAAGTATAAGGATAATATCTAGACTGGTCTCGACAGTAACCAGCTGTTTTGGTCTACTTAAGCTTCTTGAAAAGATATGTGTAATGCAGCTTTTCGTGTAAACAATCTGAAATCTAAGTAGTATGAACAAATTTGTTTAATGATGGAACAAGTTTAACTGAAATACTGCTTTTAGAGTGATAATTCGAAACTTCTCAATACTATTTATAGTCTAACCTAGGCTTACTAAACGACCAATTAGAGTGAAACAGATATACAATAGTTCGGCCTCCTATTTTTAAGTCCAAGGAAGTAATAGATTGGAATGATAAGCTTGAAGTTATTGAACAACATTCTGACTTTTTCACATCACAGAATTCAATATTCGATAGGAAAGATGGCAAATCTAAACAGTTAATTTTTCACATCCGAAGTATATGACGATGCGAATCCTACACCACTGGCATTTATCAATAGTTATGACTATTTGTCTTGCAAGACATTTTTGAAATTTATTAAAGATTGATCAGATTGAAAATGGTGCTATGCTAACCAAGAAGTAGTTCTTGGTTGCATCAACAATTTAATAAAATACTTTTGCTAATGCCGCAATTTCTAACTTTCCTTAATAAACTGCAACATAGGAATATTTGACAATAGTTAAATACAGTAACACTGAAAGACTAAACTGAAGCCTTTTTTAATTGATAATTCCAAAAATCTATCATAATAACCCAGATCAACAAATAGTTGAATTATAGTAAAGACGATGCTTCCAAGACATAATGAAAGGATAATGTCATACGGGTAATTTACATATAGCGTGTGCAGACATCTAATGAGTACAAAGGAAAAGGGCTAATTGAAACAATAGTGCGAAAAAATTCCAGACATTTGACTGTTTGAACCATTCAAAAGTTAGGAACAATAGTTTCAATTTGTCAATGATTAAGTCACGGGTTGACGTAATTAAAAATCTATTCCCTCAATGTTTTTCGACTTTCATCGTTCTGTGAGTGAACTGAAAAACGAAGCAACTGAAAAACGCAAAAATTCCACTCCAACAGTAAAATTACAAGTATGTTTTCAGATGCTAATGTTTATATAGTGTTCAGTACTGGACCATATCAAGTAATAGTAATTAAACACTTTGAAACTAAAGGACTCCTGACCGTAAACATATAGACAAACATAAATGCGGCATATTAATTGATTTAATTAATTTCAAATTAACCCTACTGACGGTTAAATGACATACAGACAGTTGCAACAACAAGAGGGAATGAGAAAATGGGCATGGTTTGCGAAGTGATGTGCAGGCTCTTTCTCGACACAAATGTTACAATATTCAAATGGAAAGTTCTAGAAATGACTTAACCTTATGGTCAGTTCTTATTAGTAATTATTTCTCGGTATTTCATACCCTCTGAGTTTGCTTTGCACATCTATTAGATCGTATATCTTGAGTTGTTACAAAATTCAGTTTTCTTTCGCAAGTCCTGCAAATAAAATTTAAATTTCTGAATTTTCCTGGAACTACACAATAGCTAGATTCAAATATCCACGAAGAAAAGAATATATCAGAAACAGTGAGAAATATTGTTTGTCAAAAGCTTATGAAATATGAGAAAAAAAAAATAGGCTTACTAACAGACTGACGTCCAAATCATTTAAATCTAACATGAAATCATTTAAATCGGAATGAAAGCATTTAAATCTGCCATAGAGAACAAAGCCCTCCAAGTTTTTCGAGAATTGTTCTAATAAACTTGTAATTGCAATTGCAATCAGTGAATCCGTCAATAAATTTGCCGGAGATATGACTTGGTTCCTGCAAAAAAATATGCACCTTAGTATGAATTCAAAAACTTTCCATTCGGATTTCCATTTGTTTTTTGTTTTTTTTTTTTTTTTCCTATTTGGAAGAGCTAGCGAACAATTTAGACAGCTGCTCTTACTCCTCAGAAATCTTAATTTCATGGTAAGCAGTGCATTTTGTAAGCCATCTTCCCCTGGAACTTGGTGTTTTTTCCCGAATTTCATGCAGTATTGCATAGTAATGAATAAATATACATGAATAATCTGAAAGTAAAACAAAGAAGCATGAGTGGAATAACAGTTCAACAAATTCAAAAAGAAAGTTTTCCAAACTGTACGTAAGAGTGGAATGTTCAAAATTAGAAATTTTAAAATTGAAAAAAGTAAAGACTGAAGAAAGGATATATCACAATTCCTCTCAATGCCAAATAAAAGGCTGGACTTAAAAGAGCAAAATGTCTTCAAAATATTAGTGCTCATCGTTTCTAGGTCTGTTATTGCACCATTAGTAAAAATCATACCTATCGGGAAAGTTCTGTTGTTGTTTGTTGTTGTTGATGTAATGAGTCGTGAGGGGAAGGTTTATGAATAGAAGAATTATAGCAATCAATATAATACAATAGTATTAGGTAATATAAAGTAGAGGATGAAATGTGATTAGCACAGTAATTTTAAATAGGAATGGTTAATAGTCGAGTTAAGGAAGACGAATGTGGCGTTGATATAAGCCGACCAAGAAATTTTATTGAAGAGTGCTGAGAATTCGTCCTCGGGGTCTTTATATTGCTCATAAGTAGGTTGGGCTCATGATTGCATACAGAATTAATTTTTCCCTCTTTTCCAAGAGGAAGTTGCATGGGAATTATTTTACCGCATGTATACAGTCTCAATATCAAAGGAAAAAGACATTTTCACACGATTGAGGAATGGATAACAAACTCTTCACATTAGATATGGAAAAATGTTGTATATTTTTGTGTAATGTGATAAGTCTTTTATCCAGAAAATGCTCTATATAACAATTTCTTTAGCTGCTTGAACACATTACAATTTTCTTCGGTTTTTCCGACGATACCTTCTTGTGTATCAATAAAACTCAAGTATTTAAATAGGTTCTTCTACTGACCATCAAAAGGCTGCTTGGTCCATTAATATCAGATGACGATAAATGCTCTTTTTAGATCTTCAAATAATTATGGTAAAATAGCCCCATAATAGAAGAAAACAATTGCAACTTCTCTTTTCATCTGTCAACTTTTCTTTGCAATTTTCTCCTTATATTAATAAAATTCTCATAAGCTAACTTTCAATTACAATAAAAAAATAAAAGTGGTTGGTATTTTTTGGTGTCTCCTAAGACCGAAAAGTTATGATCAGATAAATGTGTTTCCATTCGAAGTCGGAAATTAACGAGAGGGATTAAATGCAAGGAGTTTTTCATATAAGGAAAAGGTCACGGGTTTTTGGAAAAATTTTCTGATCCATAATAATCAATTCGTTTGTGCATCTATCACGGTTATTGGAATTAAAAAATTTCCAAACATTTTCTTACTTTGTGCTCAGTACGCTGCCAGACCATATCTAAGCCAGAAATAGGTGCTGAACTAGATTATATTTGAAATAAGTCAGGCAGCTCACTAATTTTAAAGAAATGGTCTTCAACGATTTTAAAATGCATCAAAGTTTCAATGCTTTAAGCATAGTATCCTAAAAAGATAAAATGAGCGTGAGAAATCATTTTGTGTATGTTTTTAGCGAGTTATTTTTACAATAGGCCAGCATGTCTTCTCAGATATTTCGACCGGATCATCCTTCCAAAAGAATTCAAAGTGCACTTCGTTTAACAAAGAGAAAGAAGAAAAAGTTTCACACCATAAAAAAAAAATGAAACAATAAGAATAATGATTGATTTGACTCATATCGGAAATGTTTACGAAATAAATCATCATATTCAAAAGAACAAAAATTATGTTCAAAAAGGAAAGTGTTTTTTATTAAGTCAACCGTTTCCGCATAGCTGTAGAAGCGCTTCTATGACATGAACAATGGTGGTGAGGAGGAAGCGTGATAAATTGGAAATATCAAAACCGTAGTCCACAGAAATAAAATCTTCGCAAGTATAATATCGTCACTATTTTTTGTAATATATACATTTATCAGAAGTAAAATACACCATCCCGGTGATCTTTGATCCGATAATTATGTGTGATACTATATTCCGATGCGCAACTGACATAAATGATCAGCTTTTGATTTCATTTTGCATCACATTTACGTAGTGTTTTTTACAAATTACAAATACCTACTCTTCTTCTTTTTCGTCTCATTAATTCAGAACACATGGATTGAAATTACAATAAACGAATTTAACATCATCCGGTCAAGAGTCGAAAATACTTGGTCTTCAGTCAATAATATTGAAGCTGTCATCGCTCGGAATCCTGATGATCAGATTCTGTCAAGAAACACAAATTGTTCCAGTATGTTTCGCGAAAAAACTTTTTTGACCCTGTTTTTTTTAAAGATTCTCAGGCCACTGTCAACCTAAACAAAGTTAAAGCTTCAAATGCTGGACATTATTTTTGCATTCTACTTTTATCACATTGCAAGTTGACACTTTCATTGATATCAGTGTCATCTGACTATTTCCATATATTTAGTGTATGCAATATTGAGAATTTTTGTCACCAACTAGACTGATTTATTAATTTAGATTTGTAATGATAAATAAATCTATGCGTTTGCTAAGTCATCGTTTTTTTCAGTTCGCTGCTATCTACATTTGTTGAGACTGGCTAGAGTTGATAATTAATTTTCATGGATAGATTTGACCTGGTGAAATAATTGAATACAATTTACACCAATCAATTTTGGTCTGTGAAGAAGACCTTAGCTTGAGTGGTTGCGGTTCTTAATATTTAATGCTTTTTTTTCACATCTCTAAAATTTTATCAGTGATAAATGACAGTAAAAATAGTACATTTCCTTTCATAGACATTGATCTTTTGCCATTTTTTATGGGATTTTGTAACTGATAATTTTGTAACTGATAATTTTGTAACTGATAATTTTGTAACTGATAATTTTGTAACTGATTTATTCATAGAAGTTGAAATTAAATTCTGAGTAAATGAATAAGGTTTCCATGAATTGTGTATTGATTTTAATTTTATATTAAAAATAAAATGAGAGATATCTCGGACTATTCGAAACAAAAAGACGATATTTTTCATTAGCAAACAAATCAAATGAAAAAAAATCTACTAAGAACATTCTGAAAGTGTCACAACGATTACTTATGTTGCTTCACTCTTCATTTTTTCGAAATGTTCTGATACATTATATGTAATCCATGAAAGATTCAAAGAAAAAACGGATTAAAGAGATCAAGAATGGCGATATCTTTCACAACATAATCATGGCGATTTTAGAGATTAGAATTTGTTGCACTTATCATATATATGAATTTTCCATCTTATTTCTTAAATGCTTGTAAAATGAGAACTTTCTAAGTGCCAGCTTCCTTTCACTGTGCCTTAATGAGTATAATAACTTTACTGACTATTTAAGTCTCAAGTAGTTCTTCATTTTTTATTCAAACTATCAATGCAATCAGTGTGGTTGTTATTCGGATTTTTCCTCTTTTTCATTGTTGCGATGTGTCATAAATTGAAATTCAACAAAACGGAAGATGAAAAAGAAGTGTCAAGTGCTGATATCGAATTCAACTCAACTTGTTATTCGTTGGTTCTTGGCTAGAACTGCTGAGGTGTTATAAGCATAGTATTACGGTGTGGGATTGGCTTGACATAATGAATTTATACCAACATTTGATTTTGAAGACACTGTGATGTGAGGACAAATCGAACATATCGATATTTTTTGCCAGCCATCCATCTCGTCAGTTAGTACAAGTTATATCCGTAACTTGCCAACCGAAACAATTAGATAGTATTTGAAGTATTAAATCGTTGCAGATTTTTCGGAGAATTCAAAGAAAATGGATCATTCCAATTTGAGGAGCCTCTCACCATAATTAAATGCAATGAAGGAGTACACCATTGTTTTGTGGAAGTTAGTCAGATTTGTATATTTAGGTGAAATTCATTCGTGGTGAAAAATGTTAAAATGGTTAACTAAAAAAATTCATTTGGAATGGCCAAGTAAAACTTCATTATGTTTTTTGGTCATTCTAACTTGCAATATGAAATAAAATTAGATTCGAAATGGATTTTAATCCAAAATCAACATCGAATTCGAGTGTTTGATTTTCCAATGTTTAAATTTTTTGATTAAGTCGCTATAAGTTTCTGACTGTAATATAAGACAGTAATCACCAAAACTTACCACAAAGCAACACAAAACAATCATCAGAATTTAAGAAATCCAAAGTAAAACAGGAAATATGCTAATTTACAGTTTTATCGTCTTGCTTATTACACTTGGTTCAACGGACAATGTGATGATTCGTTTGCTTGTATTTATGAATCCGATTACGCATTCAACAATGGATGTCAAGCGTTAGCATATTATACATTGTCTAATATGTCACTTTAATACTCTTATCAATCACTCACTAACAACTGATATAAAATCTAGAAAATGTACAATCAGTTGGTGTCGTGAAAAAGTAATGACTGCCAGATAATTTATTTGCCGAGCTCAGAGATTGGGTAATTAAACTCCAATCAAATCTATCCAAATGAAGCGCTAACTTAGTGCGAAAGCGTTTGTCAGGAAGTCGATTTGTCTTGTGAATACGCAGCAGTAAGGGATATTAACCTTTATTGTGAGAAGAGATTGATATGAAGCCGATATCCTTGGAAGAGAAGAGAAGAATCCCTCCCCCTGGTTTGGGACCGAGATTATATGTGTTAAGAAATTAGAGTGGTTTACATGAGGAGTTCAAGTACCGGAAACACACCGGAAATGGTACAAGCATTATAACAAGATTAAACAGAAAGATTAACATGGGAAATTAAGGGTTTAAACATAAGGATGCAAATTGGTTAGATAAGATAACAACAAAAAAGTGTGGGAAATAATTTTAAGGAATGTAGATATGTTAAAAGTGATTCATAGTATCGTTAACATTAATTTACAATGTGAATGAATTTATTTGAGGTTTCGTTTTCACGACAGTTGCATAGATGAATAAATCATACATATGTGTAGGAATTAAGTACCTTCATTCATTTTTGGGTTTAATATATATCCATTTATAACCGTCTACTTTCGAGCTCAATAATTCGTTCATCAAAAGAATATGTGTTTCTTTCAATTTCAAGTATCTTATCAATTGTTAATTAAACATTAATTTTTCCAATTATAGCAAGAGCAATACAAATATAATTCGGCAATAATTTGCAAATTTTAGATAGATCAGAATTTATATATTAAAACATTTTTTATTTCAGGACACTGCATGGTGGCGATCGATGTTGTTGTAGCAACAAACTATGCAATTTTGATATAATTTTGAAAGAACGCCCTTATTTTGCCAAGTATCTACCACAGCATCGAGTTTTGAAAAGCAAAAGAATACCATTGGAATCATACTGTGGGAAAATTAAGCCAAAAGCAAATTGGAATTAAAATTGCTGATAGAAGGTGCACAATACTGCCACTTGTTTTCAATCTATTTCTATTATCTGAAGTAAAGAAGTCACAATTTATTATTCATCAGACCTCACCAATTATTATAATGTCTTATGATAGATATCTTCAAATGTCTCAAATAAAAATTCTACTTCAAGCAATAAATTCAGCAGTTTTTCATTCCCTTTTTACTCATATCATTGAATCTCTTTTGAAGAAATTGAAGGTATCAAACAAAAGGTTAGATAATGATCACAACTTAGCTGCCCCGTAGTTGGTTTTTAATTTCAAACAGAAGTCAGAGTACTAAATGAATAGCTTATGAATTGACATGGAAGATATAAAAATGTAGAAAGTGTCTAACATGCGAACAGAAATTAATTACTGGTGAATATCTAAATACTTCAGAATTGTTAACACGTAATGAATTTTTTGAGTGAATCTTGGCAAAATAAATGCTGTGCTTTGATGTATATGTAATCAAAAATTTACTTTAAGCTTCAAATTGTGTCAGAGTAAAAATTCATTAATATTAAAATCGTTTATTTGAATCATTTAACTCAAAGAAGTAAGGAGCATGATTAGGGTAATAATATAAATAAGCATGTAAATAAGAAATCAATAATTAAATTGCAGTTGCACATATTCAAAAGGGAAGAAATTTATATCCAATGATGGTTGAAAAATTGTATTATAACATCAATTAATCTTTCCACTTAAAATATTTATGCAAGTGCAGGTGCTTCACAAATGTAGCTCAGTGCTCGTGTACGATTATCGCAACTCGTATACACCATCTTCACGTTGACTGCAGCTCGTGTATCCGCGAAAAACACGACGCAGCAAACATTGGAACAGAAAGTGCCTTCACTTCGGTTTGGATGTTGCATGTTCATTTTGTCTAGCAAGTCATAGTGCTCACCGTTCTGCGAAATCAGTTCGTATTTTCGATTTATCATAAAACCAACTTGAATTGCTTGTCGGTTAAACGATCGATGATTAAAATTTGTTATCATCTCTTTGACGAAGCTCATTTTCTCAGCAATATATTCCAATCCTGTTTTTAATATTCAACGTCGCTTTCGTTTATTAGGAATTCATACAAAAATGGCTTCAAAATTGGGAAAAAAGAGAAAATTGTTTCAAGCTATGGAAGTGCACATTAAAACTGTCTATAAAATATATCTACTAATCTCTATTATAATTCTATTATATTTCTTTAATTAGATCTTTTTCATTTATTTTTATGCATTCTTTCAGTATTGCATTTCTTTAAGCCTTATTATTTTAAAATCAAATTAGTGCAAATTCAAATGCATTCGAGATGTAAAATAGAACAAAAAACTCAGGCAAGATCGTGGTTTATGGATATTACTTACTAATCTCATTTAAAACGCAGCTTATCCCAATTAAAATTTCAAATGTTAATTTTGTTGGAATAAATGGTTATATTTTCAAAATTTGAAGATTTATTGAAACGTAACGAACCAATATCAAGCAACTTGCCCTGATATTGCTGCCAGCAGTTGAACATATATTCATTACGAGTGCCACCATATGCAATCTTACGATCCGGATCTACATTCAGAAACTGAGCGAGACTGATAAGATAGCATTCGTTAAGTGGCTCAAAATAGTATGACTGATCATCACCACATCGCCGCGTCCACTCCTCTGGTCGTTCGTGTTTTCTGTTAGATTTTGCTAATGAAACCAAACCGGCATTTTCTTTTTGAGCAAGATATTCTAATCCATCCAATTCAGTACTATCTTTAATAAACTTTATTCCATCAGTATTACCGATTTTAATATCTTTCACATTCAGTTCTACGACCTGCCTTGTAATTATCCCAAATAATAAAATCACCTTACAGCAACCATCCATTTTTAAAATTGTGCAAAGTGGCTTTTCAGCATCATTTTATACCTATAGTAAGTTGTAGTGAAATTTACACATTCATGAACTTGTAGGGAATATATATGGGACTCATATGGAAATTTTTTTTCGTAAGAGTTACGACTTAATTTGAAGATAACTGATTTGGATAAATGAAGAATTATATTTTGTGTGAAACTAATTTGAGTCTGATTTGAACGAAACTGAGCATGACTATTGTAATCAAATGGAAGTATTCTTAGTTTTCTTTGCTTTAGTATAGTTATTACCTAATCGCCGTTAATTTCTATATTAAATGATGTATTTTGAAAAAACGCCGAATACGAAAAGATATCAATGACAGTTTCATGCTACAGTTTATCAGCAGAAGTTCCTGCTCTGGAAAAGTTATTTTTCCAAAATATTGAAAAAACAACGAAAGACGGTATATACATATATATATATATATATATATATTATATATATTATATATTATATATATATATT